CCCCTCGCGGGCTCAGCAGCGTCGTTAGTAGTAACTACAAGGTTATTGTTATTTATCTAGGGCATACCTAGAGCTATTGTGGTTCTTTTTTCCTAACTTGTTCTTACGGGAAAAAAAAGTGGGGGAGGGGGCAAAGTCACTTCTGTGTGATAATATGTTGTAATTTCGTGTAGGCATCTGAGATGTGCTTTGGCAGTGTTACAGCAAGATTTTTAGTTTCACAGCTATAATTGCTCAAGACTTCAGTTAGGAGATAAAGGTAAAGTCAGTGTAATAAGAAAGCTAACATTTGTGGGTCAGGTAACTCAAAGTGCTTAATGAAATCATGGTGGGGTTTTTTTTTTGGAGGGTGACTGATTTCTATTGATGACATGTTAAATGATTTAAATTATTTTTATTAAGTGACTTTAAATGGTGTCATTTTAATGATGATCCTTAGTGGAGGAGAATCGGTGGATGCAGATTCAAGAGACAAGCTGTTTTCCCTGTGAGGAAGGGCTATTACGAAGTTATCTCTTTGGGGTCCATTCTGCAAACCTTCCTGTGCAGATCCAGTGGGTTGCGCTGTATATCTGGGGTAGACAAAGCAGTAGCCAAGAAACAGGCTTGAATTTCCAGTCTCCCCTCATCCTCCCCCAGCAGCCTGTGTCTTGCTGCAATACGTCACTTGGTTCCTTATGGACTGTGTTTCACCATGCTGGAAACCTCCTCTGGAGAATGAACCAGCGACTTGGGTCTTTAGAAGCGTGTAAAATCCAGCTTATGGGCCTGTTGGTTGGTCTGCATGCCATCACAGGGCAAAGAGTTACAGACAGGATTGTGATTTGCTGTGCTTTACATAACATTATAGATGGGTTAGAGACTGGTGACTATAAGATAAAATTGTTGTATTTCATTTAAGTAGTTTAGAAAGCCTAAGCCTACGTAGCTGAGAAATACGTCTAACATTCGTATCTATCTCTCTTATAAGCTGGAGGAAGGCAGAGAAGAATTGTCAACTATTTGTAAGAAACAAGCTTCGCAAAGAGTGTCTTCCATCCCTACATGCTTTTTCTCTGTATTTCGTTCATGTTTGCTATGAAACGTGGTTTGTCAGAAGTCCAGAGCAGGTGTATTGCTTTGGTTTGGTGTATTGTCCAGCTTTCTTCTGTTGCTAAAAGAAGCTCTGTGATCCAAGAAACCATCTTCCTGTTTTCCTTTATGACTTACGTTTTCTGGTTCAACAGGGATTCTGATGATTCAGGCAAGGAATGTTTCGGTGGTAAGAGGATGGAAACTTGGTCCAAGAGTGTAAGAAAATAGGATTGATTGGTCTCTGAGGATGCTTTTACTCAATTCGCACAAGCAAGAATGGCAAATTCTTTTAACAGCCTTCTGCGAGCTCTTAGGGTTTCTTTGTGAATGTATCGTATAATTCCTAGCTTGTCCTGGTTTGAGGTACCACAACACTTCTATAATAGCATGCAGTAGATAAAAATAAGATGGATAATTTAATATTTTTTTAAACAGTAATGTTCTCTTGTATACCATGGAGTATCTCAAACTTCTCTTAATTTTTATTAAGGTGAGAAACTGATAGGAAGAGACAAGCTGATGACTTTGAGAGGTTGCAGTGAAAGTGAGTTGCGAATTACTTCAGAGGAGGAGGACCTAAGTGTTTGTACCATGGAATTTGAAAAGAACAGTGATGTTAAAAGCAAAAGATGCTTCAATCATACCTCACATCTTTTTTCTTCTGAAGAAGCAGCTGAGCACACACTTGTCAGAGACATTGCAGCAAGAGCTAATCACTCTGGTTTCGGCCAGGCACGTTGTGTCAATGTTTCAGAATTAAAGTTGTCAGAGGAAAGCTTACCTTATTTAAATTCATCTTTAGATGCAGATATTGAAATGTATAATAAAAAGAGAACAAGAATTCGCTGTGCATGGGTAGATGAAAGCAAGAAAGAAGCTGATATGTTGGGAAGGGCATGTGACAATACGCACTCTAATTGTGGGGTGTGTGATGATTGCAGACAAAGCCATTTAGGTGAAGATTCACAGCTGGAGTATCTCAGTGCTCATGAGCAAAATTTTGATAATAGGAATAGCTCAAGTGAGCTTTCAGAGCAAAGGGAAACTATACAAATCAAAACCTTAAAGCTGATGGATCCAGTTCATGAAGTTCCAGGGGGTGGAGTCGCAAAGGAACAAAATCTCGTTGATGTGTCAGAATGTTGTTCTCCTGCTTTTGAGTACGGGGTAGGTGACCAAACCTGCTCAGAAGCAGCTATGCCAGAGCTTCCCCACCTGCTTCAGGACTCTCTGTCTCTGCCAGATTGCAATGGTATGACTTGTGATCATCAGGAAGAGCAAACAGAGTATCATAGTGTTGTCTGTGGAAGTATACACGAAAGTCATTCTTGTGGGAGTAAAGAAAGGGTCTGTCCAAATCTGCTTGTATGTGACAGTTTAGAAGATGGAGAGGTAAAAAACGTCCAACTGATTGACAGCATGCTGCCACCTGAAACAGCTGCAAGTGAAGAAGTATCTGAAAAGAATGGTGGACACATTCATAGCATCTCAGTGAAGCAAGACAATCCTTTACTGTCGCAAAGGGAAAGGGCCCCTGCAAAAGCCATGCAGTTTTGCAAACGTGCAGGGGACTCCAGTTTCTACAGTTGTGAAGAATCTGGTGTGCATGCGCATGGTGCCAGCTGCACTGACTGCGCTGCAAAGGATGCTGAAACCCAATTTCCATTCTCTGAAATTCTCACTAGCAAGAGTCCCTTTTTGGGGGTGGAAGTTGCAGATAAATCCTCCCATGGAAATACCAGCCGTCTGAACTCAGAGTTGGAGCATCATGAAACCTTTAAAAACGTTGCCTGTGACTCTATGGTTAACCAGGCTGTTGATGCAAGTTCTGATTTTAGAGCTTGCTTTACAACAAGCAGAAGCACCAGTGCTCAAGTTTGCATCTCGTCCAGGGCTGTTAATACAGAGATAACAATGATGAACAAATCTCGACCCATGGGATGGTGCCGTGAAACCTGTGCGGACGTTGATTGCAATACAGACTGGTCATATGGAGTTGGTAGTACAGAGGAAGTTCAGTCACAGCTTACTGATGCACCGGAAGAACACTCAGATGGCAATACTGCAACAGCTGAAAGAAGTTCAAAAATTCAGGTAATTAAAAAAAACAACCAACAACCAAACAATGTTGAGATACAGACCTTTTTTTAACTTAAAGTTGCTCAGAAATTTGTAACTTTTTAAAATGTTTTCTGTTTAGGAACAGCAGAAATCAAAGAATGAGATTTGTAGCAGCAATTTAAAGATAAGCACTGACAGGTGGGTCATTAATTGTTCTTGGTTTGGTATTCTAGATGCTGGATAAGATCTTTTTCATCATTGAAAGGTTGTCAGTGACTTAGAAAAACTGATGGTACTTAAAGATTGCTGGGCAGTGGCTCCTATGCTGGGTAGGGCTGCCTTTTAGAGGGACCTGGACAAGAACAAGCTGAAGTTGAACAAAGACCAGAACAGTCTTGATCTGCAGTTGCAGACTGGCCAAGAACAAGTTGATTGTAAGTCAGCAGTGCTCCCATATGGTGAAGAAGGGAAGCCGCATCTTGGGGCTGCGTTAGCAAGAGTGCAGCCAGCAGGTAGAGGGAAGTGTTCATTAACAGTTTGGTGCTCGTGAGGTTGTATCTAGAAAGGTATCTCCAACTGTGGGCCTTGTAGTGAAAGAGGTTGGCAAACTGGGGAAAGTCTGCCAGAGGACCATGGAGATGGTGAGGGGAGCTGGTGGAGCACCTGATGTGTGGGGAGAGCTGAGGGAACTGGGTTTGGTCAGTCCAGAGAAGGAGAAGTTGGGGAGGTGGGGAACCTCCCTGCAGTTCTTGGCAATCAGGTGGTGGATTTCCCAGAAGATGGAGTTAAATTCTTTGCAGTGGTGCATTTTGAAAGGGCAAGAGCCAGCAGTTACAGCGAGGGGAATTCTAAGTGGGTGTTAAGAAAAAGTTTCTTACAGTGAGAGTAGTAGTGGAACAGTGTTGGAGAGGTGGTACTGTCTTCTTTCTTGGAGATTTAAAACAAACAAGAAAACCCCAAATCCAACAACAAAGCTGGACTGGATAAGACCCCAAGGTAATTTTGAAGTTAGCCCTGCTTTGAACAGAGGTTTGTACTGCAGACCTCCAGAGATCCCTTCCAGCTTAAGATTCTGTGATTATGGAAACAAAATAATTGTGTCTGTATATCAGCAGAGTTGCTAAGTTTCTTTTTGTTCTTACAATCACACTTTTTGAATAGAAATTATTATGGTGCTTATGGAGTTTCCATCTCTCAGTTAAGGCTGATTAAAATGTGAAAGCTACTGTAAGACACTGTTTTTTTCTGTGTAGTAAATAGGAAGAGCTGATTTCATTTTTTTTTTTTTTCCCCTTAAATTGTATCAGAAATAGCTTCTGAAAAGCTACTTGTTTCAAAATAAAACATAATGAATGTTCAAGGGCTTCAAGATTTTGTTCATTATTATTATTTTAAAGGCAGGTACACCTTGACAAACAAGCTTTGGAGAATTCTGCATCAAGCTACTGTCGAAAAATACTGCAGAGAGCGATTGAAGCAGAGTTGCAGATTCTTAACGCTCATTATCAGATGTGCTATCAGCACTGCTTGAAGATTTACAAACTGGCTTTGGAGGAAAACACATGTTTTAGCAGGCATGTACTTTAATGTCCTTTTAAATGAAATCGATAACTTGGTTAAAAGGCATTAATTGCTAAATACTACTGATGTATTCTATCCATAGCTTGTAATAGTGTTTATAGTTAGCACTGTTGTCCAAAAAAGTTTATGTTCTTCTAACTGCCAAGTCTTATTTCCAGCCTAAAATTGTCTGTAGTACTCGCAGACCCAGCAAAACCCAGTTTGTTTCCAGGAATGTCTTTCTGTACAGGAGGAAAAGTACAGAAGGAATAGTACAGAGAATCTGTTTAAGATGCATAGAGGGGGAGCTGGGAAGGAGGCTGTAAAGGAGAAAGAGAGGAGGTGCACAATTGTTGAGAGGTGAGGCAGGAAGGGGGTGGCGATTGCAGAGTCTCTAACTGATAAAGCATATGCCCTGTAACGAACCTGGAATTCAATCAAGAAGTCATGCCCTGGAATGGTTTACTGTGCCACAGATATGTATAAAACCTCATTACTGTAGTGTCTGCTCCATAGCTTTGGAAGGGGGTTCAAGAGAGCACCTAGTAATGCTGTGAAGCAGGGTACAGCTCCAGAGAGCTACTGCGTGCATGAAGAGTGAGCTCCTGTTCCTGTGCGATGTGGAGGAATCCTGAAACACTGTAAAACGGCCAATTCTGGAAGCAGTAAAATAAATTAAATGTCTAAGTTGATCTTATTTTCTTATATGTATTTTAACAGATGTAATAGAAATACTGAATTAGGTTCATCTCTCACGTTGGTTTTGGAAGAGCTAAAAAAGAATTACAACAGTATGAGAATGAAAATAAAAATGGGTGTACCTTTAAATGCGCTTCCACCGTTATCAGTTGAGATGAAGTTGTTCCCAATCACCTCTTCTTACGTCCCGTGCAAGGTAATTTCTTAATTGCTTTTTGGTTTTAATATAAATTGTTTTCTTCAGAAAATTAAGACAAATCTTTTCTTTTTTGACAGTTGTTCAGAGAGGACCTTTGCTATAAGTAAGTAGTCCTCATTTGTTGTATTTACCAAAGTTCAAAATAAATGAGAATTGAGTTGAAAATAGAATGTCTTTATTTCAGGATGTATCTTGTTGCTCCAAATTGTTTAACTGAAAGACTGGCATAGCACTTTGGGTACAGTGATTTTTATTTTAAGGAAATTTTTACTCTGTAGTGCTCTAATATGCAAACTATGGAGTTGTATTTTTACTGTCTTTATAGCACAAGTTTTCAGTCTACAGGTGATTTTCCTGGTTCATGACTTCCACGACTAAAATTTTTGTCTCTAATCTTAATGCTATCTGTCTCAAAAGAATACAAACAAATAAAAAACCCAAACAAACCAAAAAAACCCACCCCCAAAAAAAGATGTTGTTGCCAACAAAGATAATGCATATAAGTAGCTGTTCTGCTAAGATTGTCATTCAGTTGTGAAGAATGATAGGAAAAATAACTTCATGTTTCAGGCAGATGTATGCTACTGCATGTTGAAGAACCATGTCAAGTTACTTTATGTAAGTGGAGATTAAAACAAATTTGGCAGTGAGTTTTTACTGTATCAGGTAAACAACTAGATGTCTTTTTCAAGTTTCTTGTTAAGCACTAGCAAAATTAATCAAAAATTGCACAGAGATTTCAAATTGTGAAGACATACATTGAAACATCACACAGAAAGCCATCTAGGTATAAAGGAAAAACAACCTAACATAAACCTAGAGCATAGCTTTATGTTTCAGGTTGCAACCAATGCTTTTATAAAATACAGGTATCAAAAAGCCTTGGTTCCTATTTTAAGCTAAGGTTTATTAAGCACATTTTATTTATTTTACTGTGAGGTTTTGCACATATTTAAATCAGTGTTTCAGAGTACTCGTTATCATTGTAGAATTAAAATTGTTGTGCCATTATCTTGTATAAAATTCTTGGATCCGTTTTAGTTCTGTTTCAGGCACAAGAAAAGCTGACTCTGAAGCACCAAAACTACAAGAAAGGAAAATTTCTGTCAACATGGTAGGTACTTCTTCATTACTGAATTTCCTAGATGTTATGTTGTGAAGCCTAGTCTTCTCCTAGATACAGGCAAATACAATCACTGTCTTCAGCGCTCAAACTAGGATTCTCTGCCAGTAATTGCAAATGCAGCTGATGTGACCAAAATTTTTATCGTCCTTTCAAAATAAAATAACTTGGAGCTTCTTGAAGATAATCAGTAGGTTAACTTCTTAAAATTCACCTGTTTAATCATTTAATGTTCTGAAGCTCAGAAAAATAATGTATAATCAGGTGCAAGTGCTATGGCATAACTGAAACGTTTTTATAGGACAATCCACAGACTGTATGTTTAACTGATGGCGGTCAGCCAAGTGACTCTACTTCCTCCAAGACATTTGAAGAACAACATAAAGATCAGGATGTGGAACATGGTAAGAGATCTGCTCCTAGTACAAATACTATATTATTTGTTAAGTTGTTGGAAAAAAACTTAACCATATGTAAAACACATATGTGGATACTCAGCTTTCCTTTCTGTGAAGGACTGCTTAATGTTATATCAGCCCTATCATATCTCAAAAATTTGCTGCTTAAATCAGAAATGAAAACTAGCATGTGTCACCTCTTCATAATGTAGTACCAAATCATGTAGGTAGCTGGAATCGTCTTAAGCACACAGAAATTTTATATTCATTCATATGACATACCATGGTCTGAATTTTAACACACTGAAATTTATTTCAACTGTCAAGGCTGTGTGAAAAATGAAGAAGGGAATGAATATTGGTTTGATGCTAAAGAGGACTTGATGGTAGCAGATTTTTCAGTAATATCTGGAGAAACGAAAAATCAACAAGTAAAACAAGACACGGTTGATTTAAGAGGTGAGGTCATGTGCTTTAAGCTGCCATCCCTAATAATGGTGTTTGTTTATTATTTGAGTATTCTTTTCCTTCTACAAGCATAAGTAAACTTGGAAAACTGCTAGCTGGGTTTTCAGACTTATTTTTTCATTGACTTGCAGTGAATGCTTGTACAGCTATTCAGCTGTTTTCATCCATGTTTTTCCTCGAAAACTTTACCTACAGTGGTTAAACAATTTAGTAAATCATGTAACTGAAAGTCACTTTTTCTTTTTTTTTTTCTTCCTCCTCTTTCTGGTTCTTCCCCATACTGGCTTCTTAAGACTTAACTGGGAACAGTCAGTGTTTGGAAACTTGTGTCCCAGTGATGGGTATGGTTGGAAGTCTCAGTGTGTCGAAAGCGCAGAGCTTGTGTGCTCCATGGTGGGGACTCACAGAGTATGCTACCCACGCTTTAGCCCTGGTACCTGTTAGTTCAGACCAGTGTTCTCTCTGGTTGTGCTTCTTCAAACCTCAGGAAATACACAGGGAAAAGAGATTTCACAAACTCGGGACACTCATGTTTTGTTAGAAGATACTCTTTATTCTCTTAGGTTTTTTAAAGGTTTTCTATCTATGTTTTCTGAAATCTACAGAGAAGATGTTAGCTTGAACTGAAACAAGAATAGTAACACTTGCTTTCTTACATTTATTACTAGAAGCGAAGATAATGGAGAATGGAAATGAGTGTTCTTTTATTCGTGTTGGTGGCCTAAGTTCCTCAGTGTCAGAGGTATGCCTGTTCTTATTTACATAGTAGTATTAATGCCTTGCCTCTTTTCTGAATTCTTTCATACTATGCATTTGCAACCAAAATACGCTTCTATTTTGTAGGGCGACTTAAGATCGCATTTCCAGAAGTATCAGATTTCTGACATTCTTACCTGTGCGGATTCCGGTAGCCACAGGTATATTCATATAAGTTTTACTTGTTTCAGATTTTTTTGCTGTCAAAGTGAATTATGGGAGAGGGGAGGGAGTCAAACAAAATGAAAATAAATTAACGAATCAGTAATTAATGTTGATAGAGAGAGGTTGACAAAAACTTGTCATTCCAGACAGCTTCTCATCTTATGAGAACTTAAGCAGTCTGAAACTTTCTATTGAGTTTAATTGAGATACAGTTGATACTTGAAAGATGAGAACTGTCATGTGTTCTTACTGATAGTAATTTGTGTTTTACTTAGTTTCCTTTTTTTTTTTTTTGTTATTTTCTGTCTTAGATATGCTTTTCTTCGCTTTAAAGAGACTAATAAAGCAAAGTTAGCTGTAGAGGAAATGAACCAGAAAAAAATAAAAGGAAAAACAATCAGTGTTGAACTTTTAAATAATTCATCGGAGAACAAATCTCTAGTTTCCCAAATACTTACAAATAAGGTTTGGCACGAAATCCAACCTGTTGGTAACAGTCAAAGAAATGATGAAGATAAAACGCTTGCTTCAGCCTCTAATCCTGTGAAAGCACCTGATGCCACCTCTGCTTCTGAGAAAATGAATCTCCTTCCCATAACTTCTTCAAAAACTTCTTGCTCTACACAAGCACCTTCAGAAACAAAGTGCCCTGGTCTGAAATCATCTACTGAAGATTCAATACATGTTTTGCTTCGAGTTAATCAAGAGGTAAATAATTATTACTAAGGCTCCTTTATATGGCAAAATAAGAGCCTTAAAACTTCTTGTTCTGTAACACGTTACATTTAGTTAGAATGATGTAAGGATAGGGAAACATGTTATGTGTCAGTAATAAATTTCTGGCATGCTGCTGAAGAGTGAGAGTACCATTTATTTGACCCTGCATCAAATTGTGATATTCCATCTTTTTTTCTTAATCCTAAGCCAGTTGGGAACCTAGCCATTTGCACTAGATTTTTCATCTTGCTTTTCTCCTCTTTGGAGTTTCCATTTTTACTACTTTTTTTATGTGAATGTTTTGTGATTTTTACACAGGAAAGATTTTGGGATATTTTAAGAGAAACTCCTGAGTTTTAAATATAAATCTAAAGAAACATCATATGTATAAATACTTTTTTTTTTTTTTTTTGTATTTGCTCAGGTTGGTCCTTGGAGGATAAGGCAAAGTTAATAATTGCTGGTGTTGCTCTCATAAACTACATAGACATGCTGCCTTTGGGGATTTAACTTTAAACATGTTCATCCTCTGGGAAACATAAATTGTATCTAATTTAATGTAGCAGGAAAAATGTCAGTTACACATAAATGCATATAGTAGTTTTATTTCTAATTAACAGGTTGGATAATATGACTGGCTGTATTGCAATAACTTATTGATCTGAATCTGTATCTGTCATTTTTTTTTCTTTTTCCATAACAGTTATGTTTGTTGTAGTGAAGATACATTGTATTACTTGTAAAGTACTTAACCCATTCACTTTTTGCTTATTTTGATGCAACTGTAGGGTGCTAGAGAAAATTTCCTACACAAAACATCAGCTCCTTTCTCCACTAATTCATATGATGCCTTTATTTCTCCTAATACATTGAACTTGAGCAGCTTTACCAAATTAATGAAGAAACTTCAAGAAATTCATCCAGAGGCTAGCAGGTGCCAGTATTTGAATTTCATTTCTGCCCTGATTTGTAATGGATCCACTATCCATGGTAACTAAATGTGTTGCACAAAATGTGATGTAAACAGTTATTTCTTTTATTCATACAGAGATAGAATTGTGGATGCTTTGCTAGAGGTGAGGAAAAATAACAAAGGTATCCTAAGTGGCTTGTCCATCAATTCAATTGTGCAAAGGACCTCTGTAATTTTAAGGAAATCGACCCCCAGTTGTGAGTGGGGAAAAGCAACGTAAATAAGTGAGTATTCTAGCCTACAGAAATACATTGAAGTAAAACCACTTGAATTTGTGTAGCTGTATAGCCTGACTAGATTAGTAAGTACCTTAGTATAAAGCTCTGCAACAAGTACCTGAATTAATCCACTGAAGCAATCATTTCTGAGGATTGTTTGCGGTTTTGCAAAACATCTGTAAACAGATTAGCTTGCTAGCTCCACACACTCTATAAAAATTGGTGTTCTGGGGATTTTATTGTGCAAACTGTTTTATTATAGTGGAGAACGCCATCATCACACATATTCTGGACGAAGGTGACACCTAATGGTCAGTTGTTGTGTAGCCATTCATACAGAAATTGGAGCGTAAGTTCAATTTTGGTTTAAAAACTGATGATTTCTGTCAGATCTATGAGATTCTGTTCTGAACTAGAAATCTGACACAGTAAGATTGTATGTGTTTTAGTTTTTTCACGTTAAAGGACCTCTTGCGTGATGACACAGCACTGGATGCTGCAGAAAGTTGCAGCAAGCTGAACATGCTAAAACCACAGCCCAGAATTCAAGGGGTGTATGTATATTCTCCTGTAGGAGACATCCTTGGGTTGGCGCTTGTTTCAGTCTCCTACTAAGCCTGGTATTCTGCTTGCCTTAAGGCTGCTAGCAGAGCCACTACCAGGTTTCCCACACTGTCCTGAACATTTTTAGCAGTGTTCCACTTTTGCCCACAAACGCAATCTGTCCATTTGTACGATATTTATTCTTCTGTAGTATTTCTTCCCAAAACTGCACCAAATTCTTAATGCTCCGATTTTGGTCTCGAAGCTTCTGTTTCAAGGATGTGAAGGAGTTTGGTTTTAATTGATGCCACCTATTCCAAGATAAGTAGTATTTATTATGTATCCAGATATAGATAAATGTATTCATTGGATGTTGCTTATCAGACTAAATTCTCCTGGTCAGCTGCCTATGCGTGCGTTACTATAGTGCACCAGTAAACCATAACACAGCCTTACATTGAACAGAATTGCTGTGCATTACATAGTAGAACTGTAATAGGAGTAGAGCAGAAGCCTGGGTTAGGAAGCTTCCCTAGATGCATTAAATAAATGCTAATAGTCCATTTGTCTCAGTCCTTGTTCTGGGAAGGAATACCAGTGACCAGAAAAGTCCTTCAGAAAGACTGACTGTAGATTACGTTAAACACACACAGACGTAGGATAAGATTTTACATACAGCATAAGGTTATACCTCCTGTAGTGATGAAGACCATGAAAGAATCTCAACCAATATGCGTGTTTGGCTCAGTTCCATTTGAGAGGATTAGTGTAACATAAGTTTGATAGTTTGACTGACCTGTGAGCTTTTACAGATGCCTCTCTGAATCAAAATAAAATTTAAAAAATAAAAGTTTTCATATTAATCTACTGACTAACTTCTGCAGGACTGCAGATACAGACATAAACTCATTAAAAAAAAACCTTACACTTCAAAGTATTTTCAAAGTACACTTCAAAGTAAGGTTTTAGCAGCCTCACATGTGTTGTCCTTTCCTTGTCAAGTGATTTGCTTACTTGCTTGTTTGTTTGGTTTTAAATGGTATCTGGGCTTTATATTCATAATTGTTCCTATGATGGTATTTTTTTTCTGTTGCTTTGCTAAAGAGGTGATGATCTATAACCATTTTCACGTTCATCATGAGGGAGCTGTGAAATAGCCAAGTAATTAGTAAGTACTGGGGAAAAAGAATTCTCGTAAGAAACAAGTATGCAATATGTTTTAAGAAAAGCTCATCTATACTAATTCTGGTATGTGTATAGCTTCAAACTTCCCTGAAGGGTTAAGTGTCCACTGAGAAGTACCACCTCGGAGACTTATGTTCTTGCAAGCTGATGAAACATCCAGAGTTGTACAGATAATACTTTTATGTCAAGCTCTATTAGATAGTATTTAATGTATAACAACTTAAATTCAGCTTTAAAGTAAAACACGATATAATTTTGCTTTTTTTTTTCTTTGGCTGACTAAACCCACAGTTGGACATCTGAATATTTATAGATCTTTTGTATTTGTTCATTTTGAAGGAGTAACTTCATTAGAAATGGGAAGTTTGGTTTTGGACTGGAAAGTCCTTTTATTCTCATTAGTGAGCTGCTGTCATATTTACCTGAACAATGCACTTAACCTTTTTCTCTTTTCTAAACCTAATGGTAGGCAGCATTTAACAGGACTTGTGATGCTATGAAAGTTATTCAGTGCAGCATCAAGAATGGAGGTTTCCTTAAATTTCATCAATACAAAATGTCCGTATTTGGTAGCCTTCTGTGAAATGAATAATTTGCAGAATAAAAATTTAGAAACAGACCAGTGAAGAGGGGGTCTTATCAAAGCATAACTAAAACAGTGCTTTGAGAAACATCACAAAATGCATAGATTCTACATACTTCTAAATAATGATTTGATAACCTAATTTTGAATTAATTGAATTAATTAAAAAAAAAATACCACCAGATATGGTTTGTTGCATAAATATATATTTCATTGTAGTCATTTCTTTCATGTGGTTCTTGAAGCTAGGGCACCTCGCTCTTCTGTGTATTTCTGTGGTAAGCAGCAAAATTATTATAGCTTCTAGTCGTTTTCTGGGGTACTAAAACTGCTGATGTTCCTTTTATTTCAGTTTGAGCATTTACACACAAAATTTACCCACTGCTTTTGGTTTTTTTTTTCTTTTTATGTAGATGGCTTTCTGATTATGAAGAATTGATCATCTCCCTTTGGAAGATTTTTGCAAATTCTATACTCCAGCTTGTTCTGAGATCATACTGTTTCTTGTTTGATGTATTTCAGCAGATCTTCGTGAAAACTCATGTAGCATCACTGTATGATATACAGTCTTATCTAAGAGAATATAACCTGAAGGTCAGTTTGGGGTGTTTTTCTGTTTATACAGGTATTACATGATTCTTCCCAGTTTTGTTGTTCTCTTTAGCTGGTTCAAGCGTTTCAGCTGGTTTCTCTAAGGTAGAAAGATCACAACTTCAGTGAAGCAAGACTTCCCTAATACCAGCAGGGCTTTTCTAGGCTGCAGTACACAACCCCCAGTTCCTGAGGGCCACGTAATTTTAGGTGTGGTGGTAGCTGCTGAGATGTTAATAAATAGCCAACATGCTTGTGCTTTCCAGATCTGATCCTGAATAGTCTGTAGAAATTCCATGTATCCTATGAATACCAGGGAGGAGTGGGGGAGGCAGCAAGGCTTTCATTTTAGAAAACCAGGCTTCGGAGCCGGCAGTGCTGGTGGACGTGTTTACATAATCCCATGCTGCAGCAGAGTCATCTCAGGTCCATTTTGACTCAGAAGCGTGTTGCAGACTGCAGAGCACTGATGTGGCTAAATGGTTCCTTCAGGATGAACCTCAGATTTTAATATTATTTCTTTTTATTATTTTTTTTTTTTAGAACTGGTGTTTTGTATTCTGTTTCTGCAAGCAGAGGGTGGGCTTCTAAATCCTTTTTTTCTGTCCCATGGCCTGGTATAATGGGAAGCACATGTTCCCTGAGACTTTTCATTTGGGTTGATACAGGGGGAGAAGGAAAGTTGGGAGTATCCAGTCTTTCATGTTTGCCTGTGTTGTTACTGTACAGAAGAGGTCTAGATTTTAAATCCTCTTCTGGTAAAAGAGGGAAAGGCAGCTTAGGTGTACGTGTCTGGTCAGGGGGTGAGGAGAATTATCCTTGATTGACATAGACAGGCTCATGCTGTGATATTGCATGACAAGACAGTACATTGCTGTTGTCCATCTCTGTTTCTTTGTTGTACTTTGTTCTAGATCCTGGCTGCATTTGCTGCTAAAAATAGCAGCCTGCTTTACCTGTGAATAAAGGTTAAAATTCCTTTTCAAAAAGTTGTGCCGGTGTTCTGGTGTGTTCAGATCTCATCCCTTCCTTCTCCTCTTAACGCTTTCAGAGCCCCAGCCTTGTCTTTGACAGCCAGTACTGTAAAGTTGGTCCTGAAGTTGCAGGTGAGGCCTCAACTTCGGTTTCTTCTGTTCATATCAAGATGAAAGCAGGCGTAGGCTTTGCCTACCACATTATTAATAGCAAATGCTGCCCTTTGTGTTCCCCAGACTGGACTCTGTAATTAGTTGGGTGTTATTAATAGTTTAAGATAGAACTGGCTTTCTGGCATGCAGGCTGTTCTGTTTCTGTTAAGAAGGCAGAAACAGTTGTGATATGAAACACCAAAGGTAGCATAGTGTGGTATTCATTCAAGTTTCCCTGATTCTTGTCTTTGAAAGGAAGATTGAACTTAAAAATGTAAGAACCAATTTGCAGAGTGATGACCTCCTTGCAGCTGGAGCCCTCCTTCACTGGGATGATACACTCCTAATAGGATATCCTAATCCTAAATGTGCTCCTGACGAGCCCAGGCAGGCACTCTGTGTTCAGGCACGGCAAAAATTCAGTTATCAGCTGTAGGTGGAGCTGTATTAGTTCGGTAATGATTTTCCACTCGGTAAGAAAAACCCCACAAAACATTTATTTTCCTCTGTAGATTGCATTGCATCCTCTATATTTATATTCAACACTGTAAAGAGAAAGGGAAGGTATGGGGTTTAGCCTTGAGCTAGAGATAAATGCCTTCGGTGGAGGTGGAAGGAGGGCTAAAGAAAAGGCATGAGGAAAAAAGGATTTCTCGGTGCTTTCCTTCTGAACTGTTCCTGGTTCCTATCCCGTGTCTCTGGGCACCCACCTGCCCCTTCCACGGTGAGGAGATGGAGATACCGCT